CGTGCTGCTGCCCCTCGCTGCCCCCGCGTTGTCTCCCCCTTTTAAGTTAGCTGCCCCCAGTACCAGTTACTGCTTTCTCACCCCCCCAGTTGCTGCTTCTGATACAGAGGCAGTGGGGGGGGGGGGGGGGGGAGACGGAGAGGGGTGGGAGAGAATGCAAGTAGTTGACTCAACTAACCAATAAGCCTTGGCTTATCGGTTAGTCGACTACTCACTTACATCCCTAGTGCACACAGACAACCAATGCACAATTAAGCACCACTATAATATCTGTCCAGAATAGATGGTTAGAGTCCAAATGCAGTGATGTTTGGGAAAGCATCTAGCTAATGACTACAAATATTTACATACAGTCAACAGTTTCTGTCCTTCACATGCACAGCACCAAATTCATTTCACTACATCTCTTTCATTTCCCTTCATCTTCCCCAGAACACCAAAAAGGCCTTTCACTTATCTGAACAGCAGTAACTGAAGCCACTTTCTGAACGTGATAGCAAAGCCGTCCAGAGTGACAGTAGTTGCTCTAAATATAGCAGCACATAGGATGCTTTGCTATTTAAACATACTTGAATGAAGAGTGTTAAAAAATAAAAACTCATCTTCAACAAATGCCCTCAAAAAGTCTTCTTTGTCAGCCACTAGGAAACTCTAAATGTGACAACATACACCTCACTCCAAAGAAAGTCACTCCAGAACTCTTTTGGGCCTCTGTTAAATTTAACATTCACTTGCACCTCATGTCAGCATCTGCACTTGTAACACAGTTCCCAGGTCAAAATGGTAGCATTTTACCTCTGTGGTTAAAGCAAAGAAGGGAGAGTGGAGAGTTCTCCTAACTCCTTGGCTGGCACAGCAAGAGCTATCTCGACTGCTGCAATCTATTTTAACCATTGTTCACATCCACTTCATGCAGCTATAAATGGGTATAAGTTACAAGGCAGATGAAAATCAAGCTTTAAGTGTCTGGTTCCAGACATTCAGTTAGAAATCTGTCCAAAGGAGAATAATCTGAATGAGTATCAAACTGATTACCTGTAGTTGGGTCAGTTTGAAATGACTTGCACTTCTACAAGCGTACTCTTCACAGACTCTGCAGTCCCGCATTCTGCTTGCCAGTTTGGTCCCAGACAGTTAAACAGAGACAAACCCTTTCTCAAAACCACTACACAGTGTCATGACAATTTCTTCTCCTGTGGTAAGATGGGATCCAATGTTATGGGATGCTAAATTAAAAAACACTTAATGGAATTCTACCCATTGCTGTTCCACAAGGAGCTCCAGGTGTATAGCATGCTTTCTATGGTCCAGAAAAGAGAAGCCGTAAGTCACAGTGCTGCTCAGATCTTTCACTGGGTTGATACTTCTTACGAGTTACATGCAGGGCACAAAGACCTTCCCACTGCCAGCTTCATCCCACTCCACTGCTTCATCCGTTCATGCATCTGGACACAGTCCCACGAGGCAGCATCCTCTGGCTCTCTCGAGACCTTTGAGAGGCAGTGGGTGCTGTCCAGGGTTCTCTGCTTGGTATCCCCATCTGGTTCTCTTGTTTTAGTCCTTTGACCCTCACACCCATCCCTGTTTTTTTTCCTTTGTCCCCCGAAATTAGTTGGTGTCTAGGGCTCTTTGGATCCTCCCTGTAGGCTGGGGGAGAGTCCTTTAGATGTGGGCAGGCTACCACCCACCCACCTCCTAGACCCCAATAGGCCAGCTTCATCCCACCCCACTGTCTTTTAAACCAAAACCAGGCAACAGGAATGAACTACAGTCTATGGACAAATGAACTATCAAAGCAACTACATTCACAGCTCAGTTACATCAACTCTACTGCATCCATATTTCTAAATGACTAATAAAAACAACACTACACACCATGATGCCTCCCAGCAATGAGTATTTCAGACAGAAATCAGTCAAGTGGAGAAGTAAATGACCCTTATGCTGAGGTTTTGTGTTTCAAGATCTCTACTGGATGAGTAGAAAGGTTAGACTTTTATATTTCTGTGAAGCTTTGATAAGAAGGTGAACTCCAGAGATGTGGCAACCAGAACACTGAATGCAAACAAAAGCCCGGGGCATTCTGGATGCAAATTTTTCTGTGGTTTTGTCTACTGTGCAGAAACATATATACATGTAACACAGGGCGCAAAACAACACTGTTTGCAATCCAGTTAGCAACACACAACGTACCTGACAACACAGTAGCCAGGAAATTAAGACTCCATGCACAACCATGACTGCTCCACACACAAGCACACGTCCTACCATTACCAAAACTATTGTACACCACAAACCACACCCACCATACTGCTACTCTTACCCAAACTCTTGTATTTTGGATGACAGGTTTAACAACAGGTTGTTTCGGAGAGGTTAGTTAAAGTAAACAAGTTCATGCTAGGGATGTTAAAATGCGTGTTACTGGCTAACTGTGTAACCCTGAAAGTTTCAAATGGTTATACACAGGGCAGCAGCCAACTCCCTGGGAGCCACGTATAACCATTTGAGTAACTGATATGCATGAGCTTATAGGTTACCCTTTTAAGCAACTGCACTCTTATATTCCTAGTACATTTAGAAGGTTGTGTAAAGGGGTGATAGAAGACTGACATTCCTAGGAGACACAACTAAGGTTGCAGTACCTGGTCTATTTCATACAATAGTTAGGATAAGGACTGTGGGTAAAGCAGTAGAAATTCTGTCCCCAAATCAATCATACTAAATTTGTGCAAAGCCCCAATCAGATTTGTGTGCAGAAAACGAACATTCTGTTGTAACAAGGTTAATGGCCCTAAAGGACTCTAAATCCAATTTGTTTTAATATGCCTGCCTCGGGTTTACTCAGGACCAGTGTTCCCTCTAATTTTTTATGTACGTGTACAGAATGCTTTTCATTATGTGTACCGCTATGGAGGTGATGTGACACGTCACAAAAGTCATTCCACACATGACCAGGGTCCCGCTGGGCTGTGACTGGGAGTTGCATATAATAACGCCTCCCGGTCAGAGCCTACACTTGACACCCCCTCCTGCACTCCATCCACCTGCCTCCGGTCACAACCCCCTCCTGCACCCAGACCACGCAATCCTTCTGACTCCAGGCCCTTGCCCCCAAATTCCCTCCCTGACCCTAAAACTCCCTTCCAGAACCCACATCCCCTCCTGCATCTCAATACTCTACTGAGAGCTCCCTCATGTACCCAAACTCCATCCCAGACTCACTCTAATATCATAGGAAAGTGTGGCTCCCTGATCACTTACGAAATTCTTGGAGTGGCTGTGCAGCTTAGAGGGAACTTAGCTGAGGACCCACTTCTCCCCATGAACATTTGTATAGGTGGAAGATATTCTTTTAAAGATATTTAAGACAAGAAATGAAAAAAGCAATAGAAAGAAGCAAAGAAGAAATCTCAGACTGAGCCCAACTTAATATTCTGCTTGCCAAAGGTATTGATAGCTATTTCATTATCATAATACCTCGTGTCAATCTACGCAGTAAGACTAAGATTCTCTCTTCCCCCCTTCCCTTCTCCTATTTATTTCAAGTTTTCATATCCCCTACTCATAAGTCCGGTCATCTGAAGAAGCGGGTTGTGCCCACAAAAGCTCATGATACCATCTACATGTTTTGTTAGTCTATAAAGTGCTACCAGACCATTTGTTGTTTTTTTCTGTAACAGACAAACTCAGCTACCCCCTGAAGCTCCAGTAAGACTAAGAGTAGATTAGTGCATTGCTTGGAAAGCATTAAGGCCTTTTACTTATATCTTTTAAAATAGTTCTCCCTGTGGCTCATCTTTCTGGAGGTAAAGCAAAGAAGGAACATAATTCTGCTGGCAACCTTATTTTTGTAATAAAATCCTATTTTAAGAAAGAAGAGTCATGTCCCCCTCATGCACATCATGTAAGGGAGTGAAGGTGGGAATATGCAGGTCTCCACCTGAAAAGAAAGAGTGCATGTTTGTTTTAAATGAGTGTGCCCCTGCCAGTAGAGCACATACACAAGGGGGGAAATTTGTTACAAAATGCAATAAAAAACGACAACAGGAATCCATGCTGCTCGCGCTCTGGAGCTATCCAACATCCCAATTAGCAACTCTGATATTTCTGTACCCTTCATCTCCCACAATCAATACAGACACTTTGGCAACCAACAGTAGATTGTCTATGCTCAGCGCTCCCTTCGATCGCCACCTGTGTTCCATTATAATCTCCCCTGCTGCCTCCACTGTACCTGATTAATAAAGCCTATTCTCCCTGTTTATTTCCTTATTGATTTTGCTGTCCCCTGCGTAAGCAAGAGAAGTCAATGCAGTGAGGGGTGGCACTTGCTTGGAGACCTCACCATACAAATGCCTCCTGAAACATCATTTCCCCCTCATTGCATAATAGGGCTCTCTGGTTGAAGGTACTTCTCGGTATCGGCATTGTCATATAATGTTCCTTGTGTTCTACTTTACTGCAGCTGACAAACCCTCCACTTCCTGTCAGTGCGCTAATGAAAAAAAGAAAACTTCTAAATAGCTTCTGATACTTTTGTATTGCAAAATGAAAAGGATAAAGTGAGCTATTTCAGCAATGTTCCCATTTGATTCCCCACACCCCAAAAGAAACAAAAAGAAAAAGGGAATGCTCCCTGCACAATCACTATATCAGCCAAACAGCTCAGTTATTAATCTCTACCTCCTCCATGTTCCCTGTCTTGGGGGCCTGGAAAGTTGACACTTGACTTGAAAAATGCCAACCCTAAGCAGTTTATTTCCTTTTGAACTTTAAGAACTGACTGAGACAGGAGTGACCTTTAAAAAGGCAGGGTTAGTTCCTTTAGGAATTGATAAAAGTGTTCTCAGCTTACACAGCAGGGAGAAGTGCTAAGCAAATCTCCTATGCAAACACCCACTTCACATCACAGGCAAGCAAAACACAATGCTCCACCAATGTTCCATCAGTTATAAGGCACTAGCCTGGAGACCTAGTGACCTAGCTTGCAGTGCTTTGAGAGAAGATGAATTGGCCATAATGATAATCCTATGATCCAATTTAGGAGGAGTAAACTGTAGACAGCATCATAACTTCAGGAAAGACTGACTATCACAAACAGTAGATGAGGCCACAAGACATAATACCCTAGAATCTGGAACCAAACCACTACAACTAGCAAACAAAATAAAACAAGTGTCATGTAACTTGTAGTGTAGGGCAGGGCACCAGGAGTTAGGACTAGGATTCTATTTTTGAATAGTCAACAGATTTAATGTAACCTAGGCCAAGTCACAATCTCTCTAACTCAGTTTCCTCATATGGGACAAGGGAATGATTATATAAGGTACAATATTCTGTAAATGTTCATTCATGTCTTTTGAAGAAGAGTGCCATGGAAATGTGAGCCTTTGACAAATGGGAAGGGTATTACTCTTTTTCAGACATCTCAGCCATTTGGTTAACTACATTTCCTGTAAGGATTAAAACCATAGACAGTGGGTCCTGAGAGTGTCTCCAGGAATACTAGGGAAGCAGGAAATGCAAGCAGGAAGCCACGAGAGCAAATGAAAACAGAATGTGGGTTTTTGAACTGGAAGCATTGATCTTCCTGTGCAGTCTTTGTGTCCAGAGCAGAGATGGGAGAGAGAAATTCAGCCAAGAAAACCAGCAAGGAGGATTCAACAACAACCATACCTACTGAAGGACTAAGACTTGGAAAAACAGATTGTAAGTAGAATAGAGAATGTTCAGTCAGATACAATTAGGTTATTTTCTTTGTTTTGGGGTTTGTTGGACTTCTCTGTGCTGAGGCCTGTATTACTGCCCCCTCTATACTTTAACTTTTAAACTGAATCCAGGGAAGCAATTTACTGTGGTTTAATCTTTCTTTTTTCAGTTGTTCTATAACATGTAACAATCAAGTACGTTTTACCAACTATGTTTTCTTGGTTTGGTTAATAAAAAATAAATCACCTTTTTAAGACCATGATCTGATTCCTGTGTTCTAGAAGACAGGAGGTTCTGAGTGCACATGCCTAAAACTTCAAGGTCAGTTATTAAGAAAATTACAGGGTTTTTTTTAAGCTCTTTCCAGAGGGAAGTTTAAGGAGTTTGAGAGTACCCCACAGGAAGATATTCCCAAACACATCTTCAGCCTTGACAGAGCCAAATAATACAGGTAATGAAGCTACAGGGGGTAGCCGAGTTAGTCTGCACAGGAAAAAAACAACAATTGATCTGGTAGCACTTTATAAACTAACAAAACATGTAGGTGGTATCACGAGCTTTCGGAGGCACAGCCCACTTCTTCAGATGACTGGATTTTTAGTTCAGGATGTGCAGACTCAAAATAAATGGGGGGGGACAAAAGGACAGGGGTGGGAGACAGGGAACAGAGGGTATTGAAAATCGGGAAGGAAGAGGGAATCAGTAAGTATCTGAAGACTGGGTAGTTAAAATGAAGCAGATAAGAATCAAAGTCAATTGATAGTATCCTTACTGGCATAGGAATCTACACAAAGAGTTGTTTGCACCTTCATTGTCTATTAGGTTGATAGTGTCCTTACCATCCCGATGTCATGGTAGGGGTCTATTACAGACCATTTTATCAGAAAAAAGAGGAGGATGAGGCTTTTAAAAAAACCTAACAATCATCCAAAGCACAGATATTGATGGTGATGGGGGCTTTGTATCCACATATTTATTGGGAAAATAACATAGAGGGGCACAGATTATCCACCACATTTTCTTTCATTTCAGAAGGTGGAGAAAGCTACTGAAGGGAGACTGTTCTAGATTTGACTTTAACAAATAGGGAGGAACTGGTTAGGAATTTGAAAGTGGAAGGCAGCTTGGGTGAAAGTGATCATGAAATCATAGAGTTCATGATTCTAAGGAATGATAAGAAGGGAGAGCAACAAAATAAAGACAATGGATTTCAAGAAGGCAGACTTGGAGCTGGCAGGAAACATCTCATTGGAAGAAAGATTTTAAAAAATGGAGCTAGTTGGCAGTTTTTCAAAGGGACATTATTAAGGGTGCAAGAGCACACTATTCCACTGTGTAGAAAAGATAGCCTAGCAAGAAACTGCCTGGCTTAACCAGGAGATCTTGAATGATTTAAAACTCTAAACAGAGTACTACAGCATGGAAACGAGGTCAAAGTACAAAGGATTAATATAAACAAAACAAGTACATAGAGACAAAATCAGAAAGGCTAAGGCACAAAACAAGTTCAATCTACCTAAAGACACAAAGGTTAACAAGAAGACATTCTACAAATATATTAGAAGCAAGAGAAAGATCAGGAATGTGGTAGGGCCATGGATAAATGAAGAGGGGGTCACAATAATAGAAAACGTGGAAGTGACAGCACTACTTAATAACTTCTTTGTATCAGTTTTCACCAAGAAGGTTGGTGGTGACTAGATGCCTACAACAAGTTGGATGTCTTCAAAGTCACCAGGACTTGATGGAATGAATCCTAGAATACTTAAGGAGCTGATTAAAAAGTATCTGAGCCATTTGCTATCATCTTTGAAAAGTAATGGAAGACGGGAGAAATTTGAGAAAACAACAAAAAAAGCAAATAGAGTGCCCATCTATAAAAAGAGAAATGAGGACAACTCAAAAAACTACAGACTAGTCCACTTAACTTCTGTACAAAGAAAGATAATGGAGCAAATAATTAAAGAATTCATCTGCAAACATCTGGAAAATAATAAGGTGATAAGTAACTGTCAGCATGGATTTGTCAAGAACAAATCATGTCAAACCACAAGCTTTCTTTGATAGGATAACAAGCCTTGTGGATAAGGAGGAAATGGTAGATGTGGTATACATAGACTTTAGTGAAGCATTTGACATAGTGTTCCATGACCTTCTTATCAATAAACTAGGGAAATACAATGTTTATGAGGCTACTATAAGGTGGGTACATAACAGGTTTGATAACTATTCTTTGGTAATGATTATCAATGGCTACAGTCATAACAAGTGGAGTTCCACAGGTATCAGTTTTGGGACCAATTCTTTTCAGTATCCTGATCAGTGCTTTTAATAATGGCATAGAGCAGGGGTTCTTAACCTTTTTACCTTCACAGCACCCCTGAAAGTGAACTTCATGTTCACACCCCCTGGGAGCCATTTTTTGCACAGCCTAGCCCACCCCTCTCCCCCTCACTTGACAGGAAGCTAAGGGGTGTGGCTAGGATTATAAGAACTCTGCCAGGGAACTCAGTCGTGGCCCAGCCTCTGAGGGAGACAAAGGCCTGCCCAGAGCTCCTGGCTGACGAGGCTCAGACCTGGCCCGGGCCTCCCACAGCCGCCTTCCCTCAGGCCAGCGAAGGCTTCCCTACCTGGGCTGCTGAGGCCTGGCCAAACTGGCCAGCAGGGCTACCCTTTGACCTAGAGAAACCAAAGGCTCTACTGGTGCCTGGTGAGTCGGAGGACTGGCCTGAGGTGAAGGCCCGGCTCGAACCCCAAGGCCTGCCTGGGACCTGATGAACCAGCTGGATGCAGCTGTCTGAGCTAATTCCCAAGTATGGGATGAGTGAACCCCGTTACAGTGCCTAAATTAATAATGAGCTTTTTACTTTGAACCTTTTCCTAACAAATTTACATAATATTTGAAGATGAAAGTCGGCAATGCTCGCATACTGTTATTGTAGTGTGTCGTCACATAGGCCTGATTGATTCACACTGCTATTGTAGTGTGCCGATCTCTAGAAGTTAATAAGAAATTAATGTTTATAATTTTAATTCATAATATTAATTATGAAGAAATCTAAACTTTAGAATTTTATCTCGTGAGAAGGCAATTGCGATAAATTTTCTGGAAAGCACCTCACATCTCCCCTATATCTCAGTAGTTGAGAAGATTAACTAACTAGCGTAGGATTACTGGTTAATCAGACATTCAACCACTGGTTTACATCCTTAGTTGCAAGTGCTTTGGATGACAGAGTTATAATTCAAAATGATCTGGACAAATTGGAAAAATGGTCTGAGGTAGGATGACACGTAAGTGTGAAAAGTAACAGAGTTAGGCATGTTATTCTGATCTTGTAACACTTTACAGACTAACAGGATGGTTTATTAGGTGATGAGCTTTCGTGGGGCAGACCCACTTCTCATGATCTGAAGAAATGGGTCTGCCCCATGAAAGCTCGTCACCTAACAAACTATCCTGTCAGTCTTTAAAGTGCTATATGACTGCTTTTTTTGTTTTTACAGAAGTGTGAGAGAGAGTTGCCCAGGGTCACACAGCAACTCAATGACTGAGCTGAGATTTAAATTCAGGACTCTCTGGTTACTAATTGTGTCAAATGTTCTACATGATGATGCCTTCTAGAACTTAAGGAACTAGTAATTCAGAAAACTCCAATGGATAGTATGAAGTATTACTCTGCAGTCAGCAGTAGAAGAAAAGAAATCCTTCCAGTGTAGGAAGGAGGCATATGACTTTTCCAATGAATTCTTAAGGCTGCTCTATAGCACTTGCTATTTCTTTTCTGTACAGAGAGTTTATTTTATACTCACTATGGCAAATAGACAGACAACCATACAACGTAGGCTGAAATATTCATACTGAATCAGACCTATCAGCACTTATACATTTTAGTTTGAAGCCTTGAGAAAAATTAGAGAGGAGAAAAGGATGTGGTCATTTGTTCTGGGGATGGGGTCATAGTTATAAAGAGTAGACTAAGAGTATACATATGCTACTTTTCAATCCATGATTTTTAGAATTAACAATCATTGTTTTATCATGTATGATACTACCATTTTTCTGACTGATAGTTCAGATTTGGCTTTCTGCTGAAAAGGCGATAGCTGTAGGTCAGAAAGAAAGGTACTCACCATTGGAACACATGAGAAAAGCTTACACTTTCCAAGCTGTTGTACAATCAGTTATTTTAAATGCTTGATTTAACAGTGTTTAGCCACCAACTTTTGTAGTAAGTCACAAAATTATAAGTCTGAAAAACATATCCCCATGTATAGCATATAGATAAAGTAGCATCTGCATGGTTGTTTGAAAATGTAAAGTACTAGTTTTAATACTGTAATTGGATAATTGTAATGAAAAGAACTAGTTTCCATACTGTAAGAGCCAAGTGGCTTTTATTACATTTAAAATGCAGAGGCGCAGTGGCCCCGGATCGGCGCAAGCCAGAACTGCTCAGTCCTGGCTTGTGCTAAATCCAGCAATCCCTGTTCGCATCAACCCTTCCTGCTCCTTGCTACTAGGGTTGCCAGGTGTTGCCAGTTTTGAACTGAACAGTCCAGTATTGAGCTTTCTGTTTGGGGAAATAAATTGAGAAAATATAAATGTGTTATTCTGATCTTGTAACACTTTACAGACTAACAGGATGGTTTATTAGGTGATGAGCTTTCGTGGGGCAGACCCACTTCTCATGATCTGAAGAAATGGGTCTGCCCCATGAAAGCTCGTCACCTAACAAACTATCCTGTCAGTCTTTAAAGTGCTATATGACTGCTTTTTTTGTTTTTACAGAAGTGTGAGAGAGAGTTGCCCAGGGTCACACAGCAACTCAATGACTGAGCTGAGATTTAAATTCAGGACTCTCTGGTTACTAATTGTGTCAAATGTTCTACATGATGATGCCTTCTAGAACTTAAGGAACTAGTAATTCAGAAAACTCCAATGGATAGTATGAAGTATTACTCTGCAGTCAGCAGTAGAAGAAAAGAAATCCTTCCAG